CTCTCGGCTCGGCCCACCGCTCCGGGGGCGTCCTCAGCAGCCTCCCCACCGCGTCCCTGCCCGCGGCCAGCACTCACCGGCACTGGGAGTCTGCTCCTCGCAGGCAGCGCTGGGGATCCTCGGAGCCTTCAGGATGGGTGGGGATTCCCACCCCCTGGTTAATTCGAGGGGCGGGAACTCCCTTCCTGGAGTGACAGGGACAGGGGGCGGGGATTCCCCAGCAGGAAGGACTAGGTGGGCGGGATTCCCCCGAGCAAGGCTCTGGGCGGGCAGGACGTGTCTCCCGGTGAACCAGCAGTCCCGGTGTGCCGGCTTCATAAACCTGGGGATCCTGGGAGGAAAAGATCCAGCGAGAAAGTGGCTCAGAAATTCCAAGCAGGTAGGTCTTGGAGCGCCACCTAGGTGGAAGTGTGCGAGCTAGGGGACTTGAAGTTGCTTTTGCATAGCATTTTACATAGATAGCACCCAGAAAAATGCCCATTGCCTTATCAAAGAATGGGGTGGAGAGGCCAAAGGAGATAAGAGCTTCCCCGCCCTAAACTATCCTTGACCTGTGGTCTTTAGGACGTCAAAGCTAATTTAGCACTAGTACGAGAATTTCGGGAGAGGGACCTCTTAGTACCTGGAGCTGCTTAATCCCCCAGTTAAGGCCTGAGAGGAAATCCCCAGGCCCCAGGTGATGGTCAGGGAACTCTAGAGCCGGCTGGGAACTCCTGCAGAGAAGACCGCCAGCACGAATTACAGTCGCCCTTGGCCTTGTTCCAGGTCACTCGAGAAAAGGAAGTCGGGATTTTCGGATCCTTCCTTTCCGTAGATTTTCAGGAAGGCCTTCAAATATTTTTAGTTCTTTTTTTGTCATCCTTGTCATTCTGCCTACCACAGGGAGAGGGTGATAAAAACATAATAGGGAGACTGCATAGCTCTGCAAATTAAGCTCTCTTAAGAGGAAAGAGCTGGTCTTTTTCAAGTACTAGCAGATAAGAGCAAAAAATATGAAAAAATACAAAACCTGGGATAATGAATAGTTGAATAATGCTTTTGACATTTTCTGGAGAGCGGTAATTGGAAATCTTTGCTTTGAGGGGGCTGGGGATGGGAATGGGGTGTGGCACAGTTGGGCTGCAGCTTTGCCCAGCAAGGCAATAAGCTCTGGTCTCTTGGGAGAGCAGATAGACATCACCTGCAAAGACGCCACAGAGCTGTGCACGGCAGCAGAGACAGAGAGGTCCCAAGGCATTTGGAGGTGGTATTTTGGGTAGGGATTGGGGGCGGGTTAGATTTAGCCCTTCTTCAATTTTTGTAATTCTCAGGCCAGAGAGATCAGTGCCGGCACAAATCCGAGAATCATGTATTAGGAGCTGTGCACTCTCAGACGTTCAGCTTCTCTTCCTATCTGCAAATAGAGAAAACACCTACACTGGGATTGCTGCAAGGGTCCACAGTGACACAATTATCAGCTCAGCATTTAGGAGGTGCTCCGTGAAATGGTAACTTGCCTAGAAAGGTTTTATTGGGATACCCCCAAAATGCTTCCATGCTGTAGAGGACTGGTGTTTTTCAGCTTGTTTTCCAGACCCAGGTTCATTTTCCACCGCTTTCTGTCAATCACTGGAGTCATGAAGGGTTCTCAGTCTTCTCAGACTCTGGATCCTATGCATGGCACAGGTCTACTTCCTCCAGCACCTACGGAAAGTTCGCTGAATAGACAAGCATGCAAGTGGAATTATCACAGAAACCATATTCATTATTATTTCCTACCACTCCGCTCCAATCCTTCCATTCCAGCCATGTACACCGAGCCTGTTTCCTCTGCCCGAATGACAACCTCACTCTCCTGTGTTTGCTGAAATCCCAGAGCTAAATGCTACGTCCTCTGGGACAGCTTGTCTGAGTACCAGTGCCGGTATCCAGTGTGCTCATCCTCATTAACTGCTGCAAAGGTGGCTCTTTCTGTGAATTGGTAACAAACCCTTGTCAGGTGTACTAAGTTGTAGTGATCAGTGTGCCGTCTCACATATTTCTAGCTTATGAGGTCCTGGAGGTAAAAGAACCTAGATCTTACTGTTTTCAGAGCCCAATGTGCTATAGTTTTCAGCCTGATAGCCATTCAGTAAATATTTGCTAAAGTAAAACAAAGTGTTAAATATATATGTGTATGTTATATGTGTAATGTATTATCCATAAATATGATATATTCAAATATACTCTTTTATCATCTGTCTCCTTCAGACTTGTCTTGCTGACCTGTTTAAAGTACTTCTAGTTTCAATCACTTTTCCTCTGATATTTTTCAGATATTTTTTGGTAAGTCCTTGGCTGCTAATAATAGCTCAGCTCACAAGGGGTCAATCAAATGCATGGAAATTTTGTTTTGCCCTTGCAGCCCTGTCAAATTGGAAAGTTGACAACTGAAGGCATTTATTTTCCAGTATGTGAAGATCAAAATGTAAATCCTTTCTGCCCCCTTGTTGAATATTTAGTCACAGATTAGTGCTTCTATCCATTTTGCTATTTTAATTTGTTGCTCATAATATAGATGATGTGGAGGAGGAGCTTGTATATAGAAAAGCCAAGACTTAAGAGCAAGGAAAGACTAAAATGATGAACAAAGGAAAAACATCAATTATCCTGGGCTACAATGTATCGGTGACAGATAAGAGAATGCATTGTCCTTTAGATAAGTCCAAGTAGCTTGCCAAGGACTGCAGCGGCATTTGGTTTACCTCTAAGCTTTCTCCTTCTATGAAGAAGAGTCTTCCCACCAGGTAGCTAGAACAGAACCTGGAAGCTTCATTCGCTCTTGAAAAGCGTGCTTTCCATCTTCCCACCTCAGCTGCTCTTCCAAGCACTTTTCCAGGGAGGAGAAGGAGCCTTAGTCAACAACTGGCTCAGTTCCCTTTCTCCTCCCAGCCTCTGTGGGTTCATTTTATCGCCAAAACAGATTCTAGCTTCCTGTTTACCTCACTAATTACTCTCTCCTTTCTTTCTTCTGTAAATTTCTGGCCAACTAAATCTTCTGTTCAAGACCTCATATTGGAATGAGCCATCCCCTGGCCAAAGAAAAGCTTAAACAAGCAAATAAATGAAGAACAACAAAAAGTAATAATAACAGTAAAATATTAATTCAGTGCATCCCCAACAGGACATTTCAGGATTCTTTGGAGATTTGATAATTCAGATACCTTAACCCCTCATCCCCTGAAATTACCCAAGTCTAGGTTTTTGTTGGGGGAAGTAAAAATGACAGAATGAAAATAACTGGGCATGGTGGCCCATGCCTATCATCCCAGCTCTTGAGAGGCTGAGGCAAGAGGATCATGCAAGTGTGAGGCCAGCCTGGGCTACCTAGTGAGTTCAAGGCCAGCCTGAACTACATAGCAAGACCCTGTCTGAGAGAGAGGGGGGGGGTCTAAGTTCACTTTCCAGTATTTGATCATCATGGTGATGGATTTTATTTTAAACCTGGATGAAAATTTTGTAATATTTATTTGATCTTAGACTTAATATTTTATAAGCCAATACACATCACAGATCTACATTTGATGCAGGCTCTCTTAAAATACATGTTTTGGGAAAGCTGGGCATGATAGTACTATCGGCATCTAAGTTAGGTAGAAATTAATAAGCAGTCAGGCAGGGCAAGGTAGGCCTGTGAGTTTGGGGCCAGCCAGAACTACATAAGTGATGTGTGTGTGTGTGTGTGTGTGTGTGTGTGTGGTTTATTGAGACAGGGTCTCACTGTATAGTTGAGGCTGGACTTGAACTCACTATGTAGCTCAGGATGCCCTTGAACCCAAAGTGATCTTCCTGTCTCAGCCTCCTGAGTTCTAGGATTACAGGTGTGCACCACCATGCCTGGCCTAAGGAAAAGATTTAAGAATTCAGGGCTGGTGATTTAGCTCAGTGGTTCCTCTGCCTGCCTCACAAGTGCAAGGTCCCAAGTTTGATCCCCAGTACAAAAACCAACAACAACAAAAAAGAGAAAATTCTTCATCCTATGAATATTGAAAATGAACTGGTTATATTGGCAAAGTAGGCTACATCTGAAATCCCAGCGATCTGGAAGGTTGAGGCAGAAGGATCTCGCGTTCAAGCTTAGTCTGGCAAACGTAGAAGTTCAGGGAGAACTTGTCTCAAAAATAAAACGATTGAAAGGGCTGGGGATGTAGCTCAGGGCAAAGTCCCTGTGTTCAATCTCTACTATCCTCCTCCCCAAAGATGAGAGTCATTGTGTTCTTGAGCAGACATTGGAATTTATGCAAATGTGCTTTGTCATGTTCAGTGTTGTCCAATATCACTGCACATGCAGAATGTGTGATGTTTGCTTCTCGTGGGCGCCCCCTTACTGAATACACTATTGGTGCATTTAAGCAACTAAGCTCATGTATTATTTCATTTCTTTGACTCTCGGTCTTCTACTTATACCAAGGAAACATCGATTGCCACAGTAACTCTTTTGTACCTTCCTTGGCAGAAAAAAATGAATGATACACTGGCAAATACAATTCAAATATTACTTATCACAGTCACAAGTTATATAGGTGTTCAGACAGTCTATAGAAAGTTATAAGGATGTTTGGGGGCTGGTGATGTAGCTCCAGGGTGGGGCCCTTGCCTAATATGTACAAGGCCCTGGGTCTGTCCCCAGTATTGAGGAAAAAAAAAGGAAGGTGAACCCAAGTAGGTTCTTATAGACTGCAGTGACATTTTGTTTACTTCTGAGCTTACCTGATCCTCACAGGCTATGTCACCAGCAAAATGAGGCTACAAAAAAAGGATTAGTAGAGGGAAACAGAGAGGTTCAGTTTTAATTAATATAACCCGTGCTTCGCATGTCTACGAAGAAGCTATTGTAGTCACACAGACACAGGTTTAGTTTTATATTTGGCCTGTGTCTTTGTTTCTATTTATACTTGGGAAAGGATTTGGGACTTAGAGCTTCTATCACATTGCCACAGTTGTGCTCCCCAGAAACCGAGAAGCTCGAGCCCTTCCCCAGTCCCGGTCCCCATGTTACAATTTAATGAAATCATCGAGTACCCACACAGGTAAACTATTGGCTACCTCTCTCACTTTGTGCACCACACATCCTCATTCCTTCCTCCTACCCCGTCTGCTGATCATCTTCCTGGTTCTGTGCTATACCACATACTTATGAAAAGGCAAACTTTTAAGTCAGTCAGATGGTAATTTTGCTCCTTCATCATTACTTCTTCTTCTTTTTTTTTTTTTTTTTTTTGTACTGGGGATTGAACTCAGGACCTTGTGCTTGTGAGGCAGGAGGCCAAACCACTGAGCTAAATCCCTGGCTGCATCATTACTTCTTGTTGTGGCTTGGGTCTAGATGTCTCCCCAAAGCCTCATGTGAGGCTTTTTCAGTGGTGGCTGGATCAAGAGTGTGTGATGCTGGGGTTGATTCATGGTACAATGCTAGGGTCAAGGGCACCAGGATTAAGGGTGTGAGTGCTACCTGCCGTGAGTAGTCTGGATAAGATATAAGGGACAGAAAGAATGGTGGTTGTTCCTTGTTATTTTGCTGCCTCTGCCCACTATTAACTGTTTCTCCTCTGCAATGCCACCTTGCCTCTGAGCCAGCTGATTATGGAAACCTGTGCAAACTGTGAGCTAAATAAACCTTTCCTCCTTTAACTTTGGGTGTCAGGTATTTTGTCTCAGCAATGAATAAGACAGAATTTGGTACCACAGAAGTGGCGTCATTGCTGAGACTGTACCTGACCCTGTGGTTTAGGAGCCTTTGGAGCTGGCTTGTGGGAAGGGGAAGAGTTAGGAAAGGTTTGGAGATGCCGGCTGAAAAAGTAGAGGTAGAAGGCCAAGGCTGTACTTTATGGAAGATCCTGGCAATAGCTCAGAACAGAAGGCTGATAGAAATCCTGCTGGTAAAATCCAGGCTTAGGAGATTTCTGATGCGAAGGACTGCACTGGCTGTTGGACTCCAGATAATGTGTCCTATGGCTTGGCAGAAGTTTACCTGCATTTTGCTTATGTCCAGAGACTGCCTGAGACTGCAGTAGGCTGGCAGATTAATTAATCTGGCAGAAGAAATTTCAAGGCAGTTTAATGTTGAGGTAGTGGCATGGCTACTATTAAAGGTTTTTAGTCAGATTTATGTTAAGAATTAAGAGAAAAGAGTCCAGCCGAATGATTTAAAATATTGTGAGTTTGGCTAAAGAGGAAGCGCCTGTTAAGTTGTGGCCTGCAAAGATGGAACAGAAGAGAAATTGGTCACTGCAAAGGCTAGCAAGAAAAAGCCAAGTACTTCAGAAGAAAACAGAGAAAAGCGGCCTGAGGACAAGAACCAGCAAGACTCCATCCTTTGTGGCCTCAGAGTTGCTAAAGTGAAAGACTGCTTTGAGAAGAGAGCCCCAGTGCACCATGTTCCAGAATGGCGGAGGCCTTGGGAAGTTGTTCCTTGGGATTGGGTTCATAGAGACTCAACCCCAACAGCCAAGAAAGAAGCCTGGCTACTGCTCCCGCTGGCAGCAGGCCTTGGTGTCATCCACATGGCGCTGGGTTCAGGTCCATGCATAATGCAAGAGTTGTGGGGCCAGGAAGGCTTCCACCCAGATTTCAGAAGAAGGCCTGGGAGGCCAGGCACTTTGGCCCTGAGAGGGCAGTGTGAAGCTGTGAGTGTGAAGCCAGAGCGGGAAACCCCAGAAGATTGGAGAAGCCCGGAACATGGATTGTTCGAGGAAAACTGAAAGGAGGGAGCAAAGCCAGCAAAAGAAAGAAGCCATGGAAGCCACAGCCACCAAAAGTGCCGCAGGGTTGGATACATCCAAGCCCTTTGAAGTTCACAGATTTCTGGGGATGCTGGAAATGGAACTGTGGGATTTAATATTTGCCCTGCTGGATTTGGGTCTTGCTTTGTTCCCATTTCTTGCTATCCCCCCCTTTTTAAAAAAAATTTAATTTACTGGTACATTCTAGGTAGACAGTACAGTTACATTCATTATTGGGATCTTGTACCTTTACATGCCAGGTCTTGGTTCTCATTTTTTCCCCTTGTCCTCACCCTCCCTTCACCCTCCCTTCCCCTCTACCCCTTCAAACACTTTAATTCCATTTTTACATTTTCTCATATTTTTTTTCCTTTTTCCTTATTCCCCATTCCCTATCTTTTTCACTGTCCCTACACCTTTGGTCTTTTTCTTCCTATTTGCTAAGTGTCCCATTAGGATCTTGAGTACTATTATAGTTTTTCACACCAAAGATACTATTCGGTATTTGCATATGTGTGCCTTATTTATTTCACTTAGAAGTATATCCTCAAAATGTACCCATTTAACTATGAATGAATCTAATTTCTCATTCTTTATGGCTGAGTAGTATTCCATTTTGTAGAAAAACCACATCTTTATCCAGTTTCCAATTGATGGGCAGATGGGCTGTTTCCAAGTTTTAGCTATTACAAACTGTGCCTCTCTAAACATGGGTGCGCATATATCACTGTGGTATGATTCTTTCACTTCTTTTGGAAAGATGCCCAACGGAGGGATGGTTGGGTCAAATGGAACCTCTAATACTAGTTCTTTGAGGTATCTCTATATTGATTTCCATAGTGGTTGCACCAGTCTGCACTCCCACCAATGGAGAATGGTTGCTTTCTCCCCACAACCCCACCAACATTTTTTATTGTGTGATTTCTTGATAGCAGCCATTCTTTGTGGGGTGAGGTGAAATCTCAGTGTTGTTTTCATCTGCATCTCTCGAATGACCAGTGATGTGGAGCATTTTTTCATATATTTACTTGCTACTTTTATTTCTTTGTCTGAGAAATGTCTGTTCATTTCAGATGCCCACTTTAGAATTGGGTCTTTATATTTGTGGGGGCTGGTTGTTTTGAGTTCTTTATATATTTTAGATAATAGTCCTTTGTCTGAGGAGCAGCTGGTAAAAAGCTTTTCCCACATTGTAGGTTGTCTCTGAGTTCTGTTAATGATTTCTTTTTCAGTGCAGAAGCTTTTTAATAAGATGAGATCCCAGTTGTTGATTCTTTCTGCTAGTTCCCATGCTGCTGAGGATTTGTTCATAAAGTCTTTTCCTATGTGAATGTCTTCCAGAAAGACAGAAAAGTGAACCTTAGAGGAAAATCTAAGGCAGAGTTGAAAAAGCAAAATTTTATGAAAACAAGGTCACTGTTAACTTGAAGATATGTAAAAACATCTCATTTAATTAGTTTTAACAAATGCTGACACCACCTCTTTCCAGTTGCCCATCAGAATGGATTCCCAGTTGGCTGCTTCTGGAAATAAATTCAGAGTATCATGCTCTTGGTTACCCGTTATTTAATTTGCTGGATCCATCTTATTTCTAGTTAATGGAATGCCACAAAAATATTTAGATGTCAAATTTTTTTCTTTTTGTTCAATTTTTCATGAGTTGCAAGAGAAATAAATCATCTTTCCCTCTTATTATATCCTTAACAGCAAAGCAAATTACTTTAAAATAAATAATTTGCTAGTGTAACTCAGAAAACCTGAACACCTGGAAACAAAGAAGGAAAACACAAAAGACCAAGGTCCCAGAATCCTAAAGCCCTAAGGAGCAGGAGATGCTGCGGTTCTGCGAGTGGCCCAGGAAGCTCTCCCTGTGGAACACAGCTTTATACTTCAGAAAGGCATGAAGATCACCAAGTGGCCTCTCCTTTGCCTATCACCTTGGCGGTGCTAATCCTGTCTATTGCATAATACATAATGCCAGGTTTTCATGACCAGAACACTGTACCTGAGGACTATGGGCTCTGAAGATGGAGACTGACTTCAAGGGCTGAGGTCACTCATGTTCCCTCTCAGGAAAGGTCAGGCGTGTCTTTGTTTCATGCCCCAGGAGAGGAAATATTCTCCCATGAATATAGAAGACTTATGAATTAATTCCTTATGATAAATTCCAAATTCTCCTCAAAGAATTTTGTTTCTCTTATTAAAGTCCTTTGAAACGGTCTGCTATCAGGCAGAATGTCATGGAGCTTATCAATATTGTATTTCCAGCATGAATCTGCAAAAAAAGTAATTTTAGAGATCAAAAGAATTCATAGAAAACATGATATCATAGAATGTCCCGTAGCCAAGTTTTCTAAGCTTGCTTTATTGAAGGTGCATAAGTATGTTTTTCTTTTTCTAACAGCGACTCACAAGCTCCTCCAAAACAAAATCTTTTTTTTTTCTTTCTTTCTGGAATTGTTAATTGATGAAACTATATTCAAAATTGAAGTGAATGGTCCAATTGCTACCATTTCCCAGTAGAGTTCTCTATTCAGTTGGAATTAGGTGAGGGGAGAGAGGTCCCAGGACACAAATTATGGAGGCAACTGTTCTCAGGGTCAGCCCAGCCCTTAAATGGGTGCCCAGCACAGATAGTGAGAGCTGCTGACATTTCTGCCCTCTCTTGTCTCATCCTCGTCTTGGCCTGGGGTCTCTGACAGAACACACAAAGTGCAGAAGATGTCAGGAAAGGCATGGACACTACTCAGTGGGGAAAGTGCAGCAGGGTGAGTAATAGCCCGAGAATCTAGGCTTTGCCACTGACCATGGGGATGAGCTTCCAAGAGCTGGCAAGCTGGGTCCAAACAGCGGACGCCATCATGCAAGGCTCCTTCCCTGCCTGCCAGCTCCTTCGCTCCCTCATAAATGACCACACAGGGTGTGAACACAACCATCGACCTTTTGCATACGGTTGCCAGAAGCTGTGCTGGCACCACCATACCCACACTTTGTTTTCTAAACATCCTCTGAGATCTTTACGCCTGCGTGTTCACAGCCTGTGTGAGCCCTAAATGATAGTGCCCTCTCCATTCGTTCATTGGCCTGTGTCCACTGTGAGCCTGTGGTGACTTGCTGTTTGCCTTGTTCTCCCCCATACTATCCTGCCTTGACTTGGATGCTGTTTTGCCTTCCACACCACCTCCCAAACCACTGAGCCAGCTAGCTCTCCCACCCCGTAACTGACAGGCATCCCCACTGCCTTAGCTGCTCCTCTCACACCCTTCCCAACACCAGGCTCCCATTCTCCACAGAAGACGCAGCTCCCCCGCCCCTTGTGGCGTCTGCCTATTTAATCACAACACATTCAATTTTATGACCCAACACCAAGAGTGGTGTGATGGGGACCCACCCTGATGGTCGATGGCCTGTTTTTCCACTACTTATCTACACTGTTGTGCTGGGATTGTGTCTACATGGAAAACTACCATCCAGGATGAACCTCTTCATCCTTGGGCTTCTTCTTGTCAGTTGAAGTATTGGTGTGGGGGGTTGAAAACCCAAAAATAGGAACCTGGGCTGATGATAAATTATTGGTTGTCCACCTCAGCTGGCTTATAGCAGTGTCCAGTAACTGGCTCTCTATTCAACCTACTCTTCCTTGTATGCAAGACGTAGTTCAAGACTTTTCTATTATGCACAAATATTTTACTTCTCTTTTCTTAACCTCTTGTCCTTCACTCTTCAAAAAAAACATTCTATCAATTCCTTCTCAGATACATGTAGGCTGGACCTTTCTGGCCCAAGCTACCCTATCCTTTGTCTACACCAAAGGCTGGCAAACACATTTTAGTGAAACACAAACATGGCTACTCATTTGCAGAGTACCTATGGCTGCTTGTAGTACAAGAGTAGAATTAGGTAGCTGTCACAGAGATCTTGTGGCTCACGGAGCTGAAAATATTTACTCTCTGGTCAGGAAAACTTTGCACTGTTCTACACTATTGCAAGAACTTCCTGCACGGCCTGTGCCGAGGTTCATGCTCTGTTCTCAGATTCATTCATTCTCCATAGTACAGCTGGTCGTTTTCCAAAATGTCTTCTCACCATGCCCAGGAAATTCTGAAGAACAAAGCTCACACTTGGGATAAGATGCATATCCCAGCTGGGAACGGTAGCCCACATCTGTAATCCAGCATTTTGGGAGGCTGGAGTGGGAGGACTGTTTCATGCTCACCCTGGGCAACTTAGTGGCTTAGTGAAACCTGTCTTTAAAAAAAAAAAATTAAAGGGATGGGATGTAGCTCAGCGTGCAGTCCCGGCTGGGTTCAATCTCCAATGGGTACCTCAGTAAGTCAGTAAATCAGTCATATACCCATCCCCTTCCCAGCCTGGTTGGCCCGGTATGATTGTCCCCATGTGCCTCTCCACCCTGCCCTTGTGCACCCTGCTTCTTGCTCACTGTCCAGCAGTGCTTTCTGCCTTTCTCTTCCTCCAGAGCATTGTCCTCTTGCGTTCCATGGAACCTGGGACTTTTCATTTCCTTTGCGTGGAGGCTCCTTCTTCTCTCTCAACTTGCCCTTCATCCAGTTCTTTGGGACTCTGCTTAAACCTAATTGTTCCAGGAAGCCTTTTCTTTCTCCCAGATTAGGTTAAGTGCCCTGTTTCCGTGACATTATGTTCTTTTAATTTTCAAGCTCTTAACTCAACTGCTCTCAACTGTTTTTGAAATTGTCTGTTTAATGTTTGCCTTTTCAGATCGAGTGCATGCCACATGATAGAAAATTGTTTATCTGGTTTAGAGAAGTCATCTTCAGTACCCGACACAGTGCCTGGCACAGGACAGCTATTTAGAAAATACTTGTTGAATGAATGAGTGATTAGCAATGTTGTGAGCAGCTGAGGTGAGGATAATGGGGGAATAGTCACATACCACTTAGTTCATTGCCTGGGCCTGGCAAAAGTGACATAACATTTATATAATTTTTATTATTATTCTGGACTTCATGTTTTGGCAGAGAGAGAGAGAGAGAGAGGAAGAAAGAAAGAGAAAGAAAGAAAGAAAGTGGAGGAGAGAGGGAGAACTTCAAGAGTGTTTTTATTCTTGTCCTGTGTAGGATAAACTGTTCTTCAGTTTTCTTCTGTTTGGCAGTCCATAACAAGCATACTGGTTTTTCATGATGTGAGAACTGTTAAAAAACCAATATATCCAAACCTGGAAGATGAAAATTATGTCAACATGTGGTTCCTCTCTGCTGGATCATCCCTATTGACCTCCTGATTTCCTTCCTCCATTCTCTACTATGCTCTAGGCCTCAGGAGACTGACCTGTTGTCTGTCTCCTTTGCCTTCTGGCTGGGTCTAACCAGCAGGTATCAGTGGCCAGCGAATGGAGGTAGAAGAAGAGCAGGAGAAAAAGGGCATTAAAAAGTCTGACTCCTGGGTTGATGGTGACTTTGCTCTTCTCCCTGAGGAGAAGCTCCTAGCGGGTGAGTGGGGGCTTTTCTAATTGGCCATTTTCATGGTCCCTCTCTCTTTAGGACTACTTCCTTTTGCTTATTCTGGCCTGGCAGACTTCACCATCTCTCTGGCTCCCCTTAACCTGTCCACACCTTTGTCAATTAAATTCTCCGCAGTGATTGCTGCTCAAGTGTGCTATTGTGTTCTGATAGGGCCCTGACTCATATAATTCTATTGCCTAAATAAATATCATGAGGCTATTTCAAGTGGTTCTCACATGCTTCTGCAGATCACTCTGCCACTTCTCAGCAAATCTGCAAGCTTGGTTGATGTCACCTGATCTCAGGTGCTATTGTGCCCATCTCTCAGGTAGGCAAGTGGCACGCGGAAGTAACCGAAGGGATGTACTGTCCGCACTTCCAGAGCTTGGCAGTGACAGAGTCAAACTTGAACCTTGGCTCTGAACCTCATCGACTGACCTGCAAGCTTCATTTCAGTTATTCCCTCCCCACCCGTCAGAAGGTGGACAACTGAGATCCTGGATAAATCATTCTTGGCGAGAAAGCCCACTGCTGTGAGTCTACTCCAGGTGAACTCTGAAGCTTGCGCATGTGCAGCTGGCTCTGTGCCCCAATTTAGAGCAGGTCCGGGAAGCATTCCCAGATGGCTCCTGGATGCCTTTGCTTTTTCTGGCTGCATTCCTGGGGAAGGTGGGAAAACACACATAGGTCTCCTAGCTGCAAACCCAAGCAGAGCGCACACTGTCATATCTTTAGCAGATGATAACATGTGAAACACAGACAGTGAAGGACTGGAGAGAGACATAACCATCCAGCTGAACTAATTTACTCTTTAGAGCCAAGGGACAGGCAGACTAGAAGACCCTTTGTCCTCTTGAAGAATTGATTGTCCTTTTTGAAAATGGCTGCCCAAGGTTTCAAGTAAATCACAGAAAACCCATCATTCTATGTTGCAATTCTCCTTCGAAAAAGAAAAAGTTCTGCTCTTGGTTAAAAAAAAGGGAGAGGGGCTCAGTCACCAATTTTCATAAACTGCCATTTAAGATACAAAAAATGCAGAATTAATGTTGATTTATCTCCTTTTGGGGGGCAGGAGGCAGTTCTCGTGGAGAGACAGGATGAGCCATAATTAAGTGCAGACCCTGAACTGGGTTTGAATCCCAGTTCTGCCACTACCTAACTATGCGATCTTGGGAAAATACTTTACTCTCTCCGGGTCTTTGTTTCTTCATCTGTGGAATGAGATAATGAGGGTATCTACCTCACAGGGTTGGCATGGAGATTAAATGAGTTATTATGAGGCAAGCCCTCTGAACAATGTGAGAAAGACTATAGCAATATTGGAGGAAATTGTTATTTTAATAATTATTCATTTGTGTTTCGATAGACACAATAGGAATGTTGATAATTCCGTGATTTCTCATCATGCTTTGGTGAAAAACACCTTCTGGGGTGAAATAACAAAATGTAAGATGCTTGGCTAGCACTGCTGATTGTCAGATCTGGGGAATCTGGCTTACATTTTAGCTGTCATCAGGAAGATCATATACCTGGGAGGCTATTCACTGGAGAAGCGCACTCCGATGCATGGACTCAGCCTGACAAACTAATCGGCTTTGCCTGAAGAGCGGGGGGAAGCACCAGGCAGTCTCACCTATAGGACTGATTTAGAATAAAGAGATGCCACTCACCTGTCACTGCTACCCGAAGGCTTACTGTGATTCCCCACCCATCATACTCAAAGGTCCTTTCACTTGGGCATCTGTTCCACAAGGTAAACGCACTCATGTGCTCCTCACAAGCTGGATTACCATGAGTTCTTCTCAGTCCTCCCTTGTCTTTGATTTCCCATTTGAAATCAGTGACCCACCCAGTTTTCCAAGCTTTGGTTTTCTCTGCTGCCTCTCAACTGAAACACAAGCCCTCCTGGTCGCAGGAAGTGCACTGTGTCTCCAATAGTCCCTCTTCGGGAAGTCCTCATATTCTTAATGAAAACACTTCAATTTCCCAGGGAACAGTCAAGAGGTAGTAAGAGAGGCTATCCTTTCATATCTCAGCAATAATGACCAATTTTCATTAAGTTCTTGTATGTTAGGCACTATGTTGAGCACTTTATGTAACATTTTCATTTAATTCTCACCGTAATGAGATAGACATAGGAGTTCATTATCTGAGTCCTTAGATCAGCATAGTACTACAGAAATGTAATAGGAATCACCAATGTGGGCTACTGCTGAGGGTGGATAGGGGTTACATATGTCTCCCAAGAATTCATGTATTGCTGGAAGCTTAGTTTCTAAAGTGGGAGGACTGGTGGAACTTTTAAGAGGTGGGGGTTAGCGCAGGGCAATGAGATCATTGAAGGCGATGTTCTCATAAGGGATTAACGCTAGTTTTGCAGAGTGAGTTAGTTCCCACCAGAGTGAATTTTTTCATGGTACTAGGGATCGAACCCAGGGCCTTTGCACTGAATCACA